CAACACCATTTGTTGAAGAGACTGTCTTTTTTCCATTGGACATTCTTTCCTGCTTTGTCAAAGATGAGTTGACCATAGAGTTGAGGGTCCATTTCTGGGCTCTCTATTCTGTTCCATTGATCTATGTGTCTGTTTTTGTGCCAGTACCATACTGTCTTGATGATGACCGCTTTGTAATAGAGCTGGAAGTCCGGAACTGTGATGCCGCCAGCTTTGCTTTTCTTTTTCAACATTCCTCTGGCTATGCGGGGTCTTTTCTGGTTCCATACAAATTTTAGAATTATTTGTTCCATTTCTTTGAAAAAAGTGGATGGTATTTTGATGGGGATTGCTTTGAATGTGTAGATTGCTCTAGGTAGCATTGACATCTTCACAATATTTGTTCTTCCAATCCATGAGCATGGAACGTTTTTCCATTTCTTTGTGTCTTCCTCAATTTCTTTCATGAGTATTTTATAGTTTTCTGAGTACAGAGCCTTTGTCTCTTTGGTTAGATTTTTTCCTAGGTATCTTATGGTTTTGGGTGCAATTGTAAATGGGATCGACTCCTTAATTTCTCTTTCTTCTGTCTTGTTGTTGGTGTATAGGAATGCCACTGACTTCTGTGCATTGATTTTATATCCTGCCACTTGACTGAATTCCTATATGAGTTCTAGCAGTTTTGGGGTGGAGTCTTTTGGGTTTTCCACATAAAGTATCATATCATCTGCAAAGAGTGAGAGTTTGACTTCTTCTTTGCCAATTTGGATGCCTTTTATTTCTTTTTGTTGCTGATTGCTGTGGCTAGGACTTCCAATACTATGTTGAATAGCAGTGGTGATAGTGGACATCCCTGCCGCGTTCCTGACCTTAGGGGGAAAGCTCTCAGTTTTTCCCCATTGAGAATGATCTTCGCTGTAGGTTTTTCATAGATGGCTTTTATGATATTGAGGTATGTACCCTCTATGCCTATACTCTGAAGAGTTTTGATCAAGAAAGGATGCTGTACTTTGTCAAATGCTTTTTCTGCATCTATTGAGAGGATCCTATGATTCTTGTTCTTTCTTTTGTTAATGTATTGTATCACATTGATTGATTTGCGGATATTGAACCAACCTTGCAGCCCAGGGATAAATCCCACTTGGTCGTGTTGAATAATCCTTTTAATGTACTGTTGGATCCTATTGGCTAGTATTTTGGTGAGAATTTTTGCATCCATGTTCATCAGGGATATTGGTCTGTAGTTCTCCTTTTTGATGGGGTCTTTGTCTGGTTTGGGGATCAAGGTAATGGTGGCCTCATAAAATGAGTTTGGAAGTTTTCCTTCCATTCCTATTTTTTGGAACAGTTTCAGAAGAATAGGTATTAATTCTTCTCGAAATGTTTGGTAGAATTCCCCTGGGAAGCCATCTGGCCCTGGGCTTTTGTTTTTTGGGAGATTTTTGATGACTGCTTCAATTTCCTTAGTGGTTATAGGTGTGTTCAGGTTTTCTATTTCTTCCTGGTTCACTTTTGGTAGTTGATACATCTCTAGGAATGCATCCATTTCTTCCAGATTATCTAATTTGCCGGCATTGAGTTGCTCATAATATGTTCTTATAATTGTTTGTATTTCTTTGGTGTTGGTTGTGATCTCTCCTCTTTCATTCATGATTTTGTTGATTTGGGTCATTTCTCTTCTCTTTTTGATAAATCTGGCCAGGGGTTTATCAATCTTGTTAATTCTTTCAAAGAACCAGCTCCTAGTTTCGTTGATCTGTTCTACTGTTCTTTTAGTTTCTCTTTCATTGATTTCTGCTCTGATCTTTATTATTTCTCTTCTCCTGCTGGGTTTAGGCTTTATTTGCTGTTCTTTCTCCAGCTCCTTTAGGTGTAGGGTTAGGTTGTGTACTTGAGACCTTTTCTTGTTTCTTGAGAAAGGCTTGTATTGCTATATACTTTCCTCTTAGGACTGCCTTTGCTGCATCCCAAAGATTTTGAATAGTTGTGTTTTCATTTTCATTGGTTTCCATGTATTTTTTAAATTCTTCTTTAATTTCCTGGTTGACCCATTCATTCTTCAGTAGGATGCTCTTTAGCCTCCATGTATTTGAGTTCTTTCCGACTTTCCTCTTGTGATTGAGTTCTAGTTTCAAAGCATTGTGGTCTGAAAATAGGCAGGGAATGATCCCAATCTTTTGGTACCAGTTGAGACCTGATTTATGACCTAGGATGTGATCTATTCTGGAGAATGTTCCATGGGCACTAGAGAAGAATGTGTATTCTGTTGCTTTGGGATGGAAAGTTCTGAATATGTCTGTGAAGTCCATTTGGTCCAGTGTGTCATTTAAAGTCTTTATTTCCTTGTTGATCTTTTGCTTAGACGATCTGTCCATTTCAGTGAGGGGGATGTTAAAGTCCCCCACTATTATTGTATTGTTGTCAATGTGTTTCTTTGCTTTTGTTATTAAGTGCCTTATATAAGTGGCTGCTCCCATGTTAGGGGCATAGATATTTACAATTGTTAGATCTTCTTGTTGGATAGATCCTTTAAGTAGGATATAATGTCCTTCCTCATCTCTTATTACAGTCTTTGGTTTAAAATCTAATTTGTCTGATATAAGGATTGCCACCCCAGCTTTCTTTTGGTGCCCATTAGCATGGTAAATGGTTTTCCATCCCCTCACTTTCAATCTGGGGGTGTCTTTGGTTCTAAAATGAGTCTCTTGCAGATAGCATATCGATGGGTCTTGTTTTTTAATCCAGCCTGATAGCCTGTGTCTTTTGATTGGGGCATTTAGCCCATTTACATTCAGGGTAACTATTGAAAGATAGGAATTTAGTGCCATTGTATTGCCTGTAAGGTGACTGTTACCGTATATTGCCTGTGTTCCTTTCTGGTCTATGTTGCTTTTAGGGTCTCTCTTTGCTTAGAGGACCCCTTTCAAGATTTCCTGTAGGGCTGGTTTTGTGTTTGCAAATTCCTTTAGTTTTTGTTTGTCCTGGAAGCTTTTGATCTCTCCTTCAATTTTCTTTCTTTTTTTTTTTTTAAAGATTTTATTTATTTATTTGAGACAGAGAGAATGAGAGAGAGAGCACATGAGAAGGGGGAGGGTCAGAGGGAGAAGCAGACTCCCTGCCGAGCAGGGAGCCCGATGCGGGACTCGATCCCGGGACTCCAGGATCATGACCTGAGCCGAAGGCAGTCGCTTAACCAACTGAGCCACCCAGGTGCCCTCTCCTTCAATTTTCAATGACAGCCTAGCTGGATAGAGTATTCTTGGCTGCATATTTTTCTCATTTAGTGCTCTGAATATATCCTGCCAGTCCTTTCTGGCCTGCCAGGTCTCTGTGGATAGTTCTGTTGCCAATCTAATGTTTCTACCATTGTAGGTTACATATCTCCTCCCGAGCTGCTTTCAGGATTTTCTCTTTGTCTATGAGAATCGTAAATTTTATTATTAGATGTCAGGGTGTTTACCTATTTTTATTGATTTTGAGAGGGGTTCTCTGTGCTTCCTGGATTTTGATGCCTGTTTCCTTCCCCAAATTAGGGAAGTTCTCTGCTATAATTTGCTCCATTATACCTTCTGCCCCCCTCTCTCTTTCTTCTTCTTCTGGGATCCCAATTATTCTAATGTTGTTTCGTCTTATGGTATCGCTTATCTCTCGAATTCTGCCCTTGTGATCCAGTAGTTGTTTATCTCTCTTTTTCTCAGCTTCTTTATTTTCCATCATTTGGTCTTCTATATCACTGATTCCCTCTTCTGCCTTATTTATCCTAGCAGTTAGCACCCCCATTTTTGATTGCACCTCATTAATAGCCTTTTTGATTTCTACTTGGTTAGATTTTAGTCCTTTTACTTCTCCAGAAAGGGTTTCTCTAATAACTTCCATAATTTTTTCAAGCCCAGCTAGTATCTTTAAAGTGATGATTCTGAACTCTAGATCTGACATTGTATTAATGTCCATATTGAGTAGGTCCCTGGCAGTCGGTACTACCTCTTGTTCTTTTTGTTGAGGTGATTTTTTCCGTCTCGTCATTTTGTGCAGAGGAGAATAGATTAATGAGAGAACAAAATGCTAGCAGAGTAACAACGTCCCCAGAAAATATACTCTAAACAAATCAGAAAAGACCTGAAGCAGTGGAAAAAGAAATGGAAAGAGAGAAAAAAGAAAAAGATAAAGATAAAAACAAACAAAAACAAACAAAACAAAACAACAACAACAACAAAAAAACCCAGAATGTGATCAAATATGATCAGGCTGGTATATAGATCAGTGCCACACACTAGATTTGGGGTGTATTTTGGTCTTTTAGAAGAAAGTGCCTCCCAAAATTTTAAAGAAAGAAAAACTTACATATGTACAAAAATAAGTGTTGATATGATGAAGGGATGGAATATGAGTGTAAAGATGGAAATTATAAAAAATTTTGTAAAAGGAATTGATAAGAAGTTGTTTGAAAAAAGAAGAGAGGATTTAAAAAAAGAAAAAAGAAAAAAAGGGAGAGAATGTGATCAGGCAGGGGAATAGAAAACACCATATACTAGAGATTTAGGGTATATTTTAATCTGGTAGAAGAAACTATCTCAAAATTTTAAAGAGAGAACAACTTATATATTTATGCCAAAAATACGGGTAACTACTATGAAGGGATAGAATATGACTCTAAAAATGAAAAATAAAAGTTTTTTTAAAAAAAGGGACTGATAAGATGTTGGTTGAAAAAGGGAAAAAGAAAAATTCAAAAAAAAAGAAAAGAAAAAAAGACAGTTAAAAAAAATTAACTTTGAAAGACTAAAGAATCATGGTAAAAAAGCCATGGATTCTATGTGCAGTATTCCCCTAGCGCTGGAGTTCTGCCATTCTCATTGATCCGTAAACTTGGTCTTGGCTGGCTGTTCTCGCTGATCTTCTGGGGAGGGGCCTGTTGCCGTGGTTTCTAAATGTCTTTGCCGGAGGCAGAATTGCCCCGCCCTTGCCCCCTCCTGGCGAAGTAATCTGCTCGGGTTTGCTCTCCGGGGCTTTTGTTCCCTGCCAGCTTTCCGTACAGCTTTGGAGGCGGAGAGTGAAAATGGCGGGCCTCCACCCCGGAGGAGCCAAGAACTCGGGGCCCCACTCCTCAGTGAGCCCCCAGAGAAAAGCCGTCAGTCACTCCCGTCTCCCCGGTCTCTGGCCGCACTCCATGCTTACCCGGCCTGTGACCACGCGTTTCTCTCTCTGGCACCCGACCCCGGGTGGAGTCTCCAAACCCAGCAGATCCCTGTGGTGCACTCCCGCGCGGCTCCTCCTGGGGGAGGAAGGTGAGTCTCCCTGGATCTGCGTCCCTCAGGGGAGCAGACTTTTAAAAGTTCCGATTTTGTGCTCCGTGGTTCTATTACTTGCCAGAAGCGGCCGGCGGAGGCCCCTCCCCCGCTGTCTATCCTCCCAAATATCGCCTCGGATTCACTTCTCTGCACGTCCTACCTTCCAGAAAGTGGTCACTTTTCTGTTCAGAGAGTTGTTGCTATTCCTTTCTTCGATCTCCTGTTGAGTTTGTAGCTGTTCAGAAAGGTTTGGCCCCTATCCAGCTGAATTCCTGAGAGGAGACGAAATCCAGGTCTCCTACTCCGCCGCCATCTTGCTCCGCCCCAGGCCTTGAATCTTCATAGGGTTTCTCTCCCACTCTTGGAAGTACATTTGTTGTACCAATACCAGCAACATATTCACCAATTCTGGCTCACCCTGCTTGAATAATTATATGTCATCAATATGGTGGAACCAAGTGAGGTTTTGTGGAATGTCCAGAAGGCCCATGTCCAGGGGGTGCTGGAGCTGCCTCCTATTGTTTCATGAAAGGAGCACCTGGGTGGCTCAGTGGGTTAAGCATCTGCCTTCAGCTCAGGTCATGATCCCAGGGTCCTGGGATGCGTCCCCTCGTTGGGCTCCATGCTCAGTGGTGAGTCTGCTCCTCCCTCTCCCTCTGCCACTCCATCCCCACCTCCCCACCTCCCCATGCTCTCTCTCTCTCTCAAATAAATAAATAAAATCTTTGAAAAAAAATATCATGAGAGCTGTTAGATTTTCAGGCATTTTGCAAACCAGTTGTTAAATACAGCTATTAAAAATAGGTCATTATAAATTTATAAGTTATATTAAAAGCAGAGATAATATTTAAAACTGATCATTTCCTAGCTATTTTACTATATTTTGTGATTTTTTTACTTTTATTTGCATTTATTTTATGCAGAATTTACTACCAGGCCATAAACTTTTGTTTCTTCAGTTTCTCCTGGGATATCTTTTTCTTCTGTGCAACCTCCCCTTCTGGTTTAGGAATAATCTGCTCTTTTTCAGTAAGGATCATCTCAGTGTGGCAGGGATAGCTCACGTGTGGGTGAATCCGACCATGAACCTGGTAAGTTCTGTATCGCATCTTGGGGGTTTTGTTCACCTGGATGTGCTCAATGACCAGAGAATCTACATCTAAACCCTTAAGCTCAGCATTACTCTCTTCATTTTTAAGCATGTGCAGTAAAAATCAGCACTCTTTTTGGGCCACCAGCCCCGTGTCCAGCCCCACTGTTTGGCCAGGGCACACCTCCCAACTCCACCATTGTAGCCAGGGAGTGGTGCACGCTGCTTTTGCAATGTGACATCCTTCAGATACTTGGTGGCTTTCCAGATATGCATATTTTTGATGGCCTGGGCAGTTTCAGGTGTGTTCCTAAAGTGAACACAAAGATTCGAACCTCTTGATTGGCATGATTATGTAGGGTTATCTGGGTCAAGTGAATAGTGAAATATTTCCAGAGATCACCTCAGGCTGCTTACGGGAAGAGCTATATTTTATGCTAAACTGTGCTTATTGACATCTATTGTGTCTGTATGATTAAAAAAAAAATACTATGATATACTGCGTGGGGGTGTGTTACCATGTACAGCTCTCCAAATCTGCATTTTCAGTAAAGTCACGCTGGCAGCTTAAAATTGGGTATGGTAGAAATACTCCCTCTACAGAAATCAGCAAATAGGACAGAACACACTTTTCTGCCTGTAGTACCAGCACCAGCACATGCTGTCCACGTCCCTTTGGACCACGTTATGATGCCAGAGTTATGATATAGTAACATAAACGTACAGTTTTACACACACCGTGTAGATGCAAACTGCTTCTCGACCTCCATCCTGATAGTATTTGAAAACACATTCACCAGTACCCAAGAGCCATGTAACCGAGCCCCAAACCATGTTAATCAGGCATGAAAGCTGTAGTTAGGACAACTACCTGGTTGTGTTTCTGGTGGCTCATTGTCTTCTTCCAGGATCTGGTCGGGTGTTTGTAGTGACCAGAGTGGTCAATGAAGTGGACAGGATAGGAACAACCACCTCCTGCATCAATCTGCACCATTTCCTTTGGATTGTGATATTGCTCTGGACTTAGTGTCTTTGTGGAGAAGGGAGTACAGATTCGGGACTCCCCCTCAGCATCCTCCTACCATATCACTTACTCCACTGGCCCAAGAACCAATGTGGGGATTCTGCCAAACACCAGGTGTATGCATTCCAATTACACATTCAGGAACTATAAGAATGACTACTAGGTAGGTCCATGGACCTCACAGAGCCACTGTGATTTGGACCAGGGCCAGGGTGCCATTGATTAGCTGACCCCATGAGCCCCTACTGCAATGGAGGACAGGCATGTTAATGACTCAGCTATGTTGTATGAGCCTTAGACTGTTCCAGCCCTAAGGTTTTGTAATTCTGTGCTGTTGCAGTCAGGTCCAACTCAGACAGAAGTCGATGGAACAGAAGGAAGTTGAGTACTTTAAAAAATGGGATCCTACATGATTGGATCAGAGGCTTGGGGGAATATCTAGAAGCCTGGGGGAGTCTCTGGAGTGGTAGGGAGGAGACCACCTTGTTATTCCTGACAGAAAGAAGCAGTGGGGGACCTCTTTACCTACCACAGGGATAACAAACGCTGGCATGGTTCCTCTAGATAGTCCCCTGCCTCTGTACAACAATCAGGGACTAATTGTCTGTGGACTGTGGGACCCTAAGGTCTTAATAAAATTAATGAGCTTTGTCTCCATAGGATGGGAGTTATGCAATCCCTCCCTCTAGCATCAGATCAACCCTTCTAATCCCTGTGCCCCTGAAACAACCTACCTTCTCCCCAGCCCGAGGGCAAATGCTGTTCACAAGCAGGAGCCTCTGACCTCTGGGGCCTCACCTTCCCTGCAGGGACGTGGTGCGCTGAGGTTGGCATGCAGTCCCTGCAACCAGCCCACTTAGGTTCAAATATCAGCTCTCGTGCTCACTGACTGTACTGTCTGAGACAAGGGATTTAATCTTTCTCTGCTTCAGATTCTCTACATCAAAGGGAGAGGGTGCACAGAGTTGTTGTGTGGGTGATCAGAGGCTTGCTGGTAAGTGTTTGGCAACCAGTTTGGTTGGGGGAAATACAGCCCCCGATTGAAGGGCTAGCCAAGTTCTGTGGCGTAAATATTCCTACAATGGCTGGTCCAAGCTACCAATAGTTTAATTCTCTCTCACAAAAGTCCCCAAAATTTAACAGTCAGGAGCTAGTATGAGCCAACTCCAGCACATCCCATGTCCATGTGCCTAGAGAAGTGTTGATTCTGCAACAGACAAATACAAAGACTTCTAAGGGATTCACCTCAATCAAGCATGTTAATTAATGACAATAACAGCATTATCTGGAGGCAAAAGTTCTAGGACTCAGTGGTTGGAAGTAAGGACCACAAATCAGCCAAACATCATCATCAGGACCCTACTTCCCTTCTACTATGGGTGTGGAGACTCTTCAGGCATACTGTACGAGGTGTAGGAGTCTCAGGATCTACACTGAGAATCCACTGGTTGAGGCCATGGCCCTGGCTGGTGAGAGAGCTCATGTCCCCAGTCTCAGAAGTAGTTGGTGGCCTCATCTCTCTGGGCTAAGCGATGGCCAGTGCCTCTATAAGCATCCAGAAAGAGTGGGGAAAGGCTAGACAGGAAAGGATCATCTAAGTTTTGTGCCCTGCTAGGCCTCAGTCTCCCCTTTTGCAATAACCGATAATTCATACTTCACAGGATTTGTTTGTGAATGTAATGAAATAATGTACTTTGAACTTTAAAGTATTATTATTTTTATTCCACTTGTAGAAGAAGAGTGAAGAAACTAGAGTGGGGGTGGAATTGAGTGCCCAGTGCTCTTGGATGTTACCTCTGGAGTTTCTGCTGAGTCTTCGAGGTGCCCTTCTCCTTTCAGGTAACCTGGATGGGGAGGACCATGCTGCAGAGCGAACAGTGGAGGATGTTTCCCTCCTAAAGTTCATGCTGGGCACCTTCCCAGGGTGTTTGACTGTCCAGCTGATCTTAAAGCGCTGGGCTAACCAGTTGGAGATCTGTGCCCTGGTCCTGAGGGCACAGAAGTTCTACTTCCTGGTGGGCTACACACAAGTTCTACTGCACACAAGTTCTACTTCCTGGTGGGCTACAGTGAGACTCTGCTGTCCCACTTTTACAAATGTTCCGTCCATCTGCACCTCCAGACTGTGCCCTCCAAGGTCGTGTATACATACATCTAAGACAGTCACCTTTTCTGCATCAGGCTCTAGCCTGCGAAGGACAGAACCATGTGGAAAGAAGTGAAGTAGAAATGGGGAAATACATCACCTCACTGTCTCGAGGATTCCTTTTCAAAGCTGCTGTTGAATAAATAGACCTTCCGTGTTGTCTTGTCTCTTGGTTTGTCTTTCCTCCTTAGAGAAGAGAACTAGAGTAGGGTTTCTTTGAGGATGCTCCAAGGCTTCCCAAAAGGTTGCCAGTTGTTTGAGGTTTGGGTAATAGCTACAGTGCAATGAGTCTCTTGTCACTTTACCAGGAACTTTACCTGGAGTTCTTTGTTTTTTCTCAAAGTGGAAGAATCCATTTTTGGTCATTATAAAATAATCAACATTAATTTTTAAAAATTTTAAATAGTTTGGACATGTGTCAAGTCAACCATGAACGTTTCTTGTAATTTTTCCACAGAGAGAACTACTGTGAACAGTTTCTTTTATTTCCAGATGTACTTTTTCCCTCTAGAAATACCTTAATGGATACTCATTGCTTAATAAATAAGCTTTCAATTGAACACCGTAGGCCACAGATTCTTCTGAGTGCTTGGAATCCATCAATGGACAAAACATTCTGTTCCAAGATCCCTGCCTTCGTGACACTTGTATCCCCGTGGAGGTCAGCAGGGAGGGTTAGGCAGCACTGAGGACTCCAAGCAGGTGAGCTCAGTGCAGGAGAGCATTTCAGGAGGTGGCATCTGCAAAAGCTGCATGTGGTGCTGGGTGGTGGGGAAGGGATTGCTGACCAACTTCACTGTGACACTTGACCCTCACCTTGACCATGACCCTGTTACACTTAACCCTGAACCTCAACCTCACATACCCTAATTCCAACTCTGAACTTGACTTATTACCCTGACTCTGATTCTACCCTAAGCTTTACCCTCATTCTAACAGTAATGCTCTCCCTAATCCTACCCACAACTTGACCTTCACTCAACCTCACTCTTACCTGAGGGTCTCACCCGGACCCTCCCCTGATCATGTCTGACTCTGACACTGATGTTGACTACATCCCTCACATAACCCTGATTTTCAGTAAGAACTTCACGCTGAAAATATCCTAATGCTATCTGACCCTTACCACAACCCCGCCTGTAACCTTATCCTAACTCTAACCCTGAGGCTTGCTTTGACTCTGACCATAATCCTCACCCAGACTCTCATCATGACCTTGACCATAAAACTGACAGTCATCTAAATTTGACCCTAGCCCTGATCTTCCTTTATTGATAAACCAGACTCTGATTTTGACCCCAAAATGCAACCGTCACCCAGACTCTGTTCCTCACACAGATCTGAGCCTACTCTTAACCCTGGTCTTGACTCTGATTCTAACACTCAACAACCCTGGATTGATGTGACTGATTGTCATTCAGGCCCTGAGACACCCTCACACCTTGCTGACAAAACTCAACCTTAACCTGACCCTTGTGACCTTCACTCTGTCACCGACCCTTATCCTGGACTTCATGTGACTTTAACCCTCACCCTCTTCTTGATTTTCACCCTAACACTGATCTTGACCCTTCCACTAACAGTGATCCGACTGAACCTCAGCTGGACTTGATTATGTTCCTGACCCTCGTGATCCTGATCCACCCACATACTGATCATGAAACTTCACTTAACCCTGACCTTGACCCTGAACCTTATTCAAATCCTTAACTGACACAGGCCCTTATCCTATCCTCGACTGTGACCCTGATGCACAACCTTGCTTTGATATTCACCCTATAGACTTACCCAGATCTTGACCCTGATCCATTATTATAATTGAAATATATTTGACATTTAACATTGTATAAATTTAAGGTGTACATGTTGATACATTTATGTATCTTAATACATTATATATCATGGAATGATTGCAACAATTAGCACCTCTATCATATTACATAATTATCCTGTCTTTTTAGTCATTAGAATAATTAAGTTCTAGGTTCCTAGCAAGTTTGTTGATTATAATACAATATTGTTGTCTGTGCTCACTGTTCATCATAAATTTGTACCGTTAGGCAACATCTGCCCTGTCCTCTCCACTCCCCAACCCCTGGTAACCACCATTTTGCTCTGTTTTTGTGAGTTTGGGTTTTTTAGATTACACTTATAAGTGATGTCCTACAGTATTTGTCTTTCTCTGTCTGACTTATTTTACTTAGCATAATTTCCACAAGGTCCACCATGTTGTTGTAAATGGCAGGATGTCCTCTTTTCTCATGGCTGTATAATATTCCATTGTATTTATATACCACATCTTCTTTATCCATTCACTTACGGGCTATTGTGAACAACGCTGCGGTAAACATAGGAGTGCATATCTCTCTTAAAAACCCCGTCTTTATTTCCTTTGTGTGTATACCTAGAAGTGGAATCACACTGCATCATTGTTGGGTCTATTTTTAATTTTTGAGAAGTCTTCATATTGTTTTCCATTGTGGTTGAATCAATGTACATGCATAGCAGCATGAAAGAGTTCCCTTTTCTCCAGACCCTAGCCAGCAATTTTTATCTCTTGTCTTCTTGATAATAGGCCTTTTGACAGGTGTGAGTGATATCTCATTGTGGTTTTGATTTGCATTTCCCTGATGATGAGTGATGTGGAGCATCTTTTCATGTGTCTGTTGGCCATTGGGATGTGTTCTTTGGAGGTCTCGTTCCAACCATTTTTCAGTCAGATTGTTTTTGATTTTGAGTTGTATGAGTTCTTTATATATTTTCAGTAATAACTCCTTATCCAGGGTGCCTGGGTGGCTCAGTCATTAAGCGTCTGCCTTTGGCTCAGGTCACGATCTCACGGTCCTGGGATCGAGCCCTGCATCAGGCTCCCTGCTCCGTGGGAAGCCTGCTTCTCCCTCTCCCACTCCCCCTTCTCATGTTCCCTCTCTTGCTGTGTCTGTCTCTGTCAAATAAATATATAAAATCTTTAAAAAAAAAACCTCCTTATCCAATGTATGTCTTGCAAAAATTTTCTTCCATTCTGTAGAGTGCTTTTTTGTCTTGTTAATGGTTCCTTTTGCTGTGCAGAAGGTTTTAAGTTTCCTGGAGCCCTATTTGTTCATTTTCACTTTTGTCTTTGGTGCTGGTGGTGTCATATTCAAGGAATCATTGCCAAAAGCAACGTGAAGGAGCTTCTTCCCTATATTTACTTCTAGGAGTTTTATAGTACCAGGTCCTTCTGTTTCAGTCTTTAATCTATTTGAGTGAATTTTTGTGACTGGTGGGTCTAATTTCATTGCATGTACTCATCCAGTTTTCCCCACCTCACTTGTTGACAGGCTGTCCTTTCCCCATTGTGTGTTCTTGGCTTCTTTGTTGAATAATTTTTTGACTGTATAAGCAGGGGTTCACTTCTGTGCCTTCTATTCTGTTCCATTGGTCTATGTGTCTATTTTTGTCTGTCTATGCAGTAACGTACTGTTTTTATTCCTGAAGCTTTGTAGTGTAATTTGAAGTCAGGAAGTGTGATATCTCTGGTTTTGTTCTTTTTTCCTCAAGAAGGACATTTTAACAATATAAATATTTCTGATCCATGAACAGAGTATGTCTTTCCATTTGTTTGTCTTTCCATTTCTTTGATTTCTTTTAACAAAGTCTTATAGTTCACTGTACAGGACTTTCGCATCCTTGGTTAAATTTATTCCTAATATTGTATTGTTTTTGATGCTATTGTTAATGGGGTAGTTTTCTTTATTTCTTTTTCAGATGTTTCATTCTTAGTGTATAGGAACATCAACGATTTCTGTAAGTTGATTCTGTATCCTGCAACTTGACTGACCTCTAACAGCCTTTTAGATTTTCTATAGACCGAATCATATTATCTGTAAACAGTGACAGATTCACTTCTTCCTTCCTGATTTGGATGCCTGTTATTTCTTTGTCCTAATTGCTTTAGCAAGGACTTCTAATACCAAACTGAATAAGAGTGGTGTGTGTGGGCATCCACGTCTTGTTCCTGCTTCTTGACGAAGGGCTTTCAATTTTCACCAGCAAGTCTAATGTTAGCCATGGGCTCATAATGTATGGCCTCTAATATATTGAGGTATGTTCCTTTTATACCCGATATGCTGAGGGTTTTTACGAAATAATGTGTTTTGTCAAGTGGTTTTTCTGCATCTCTTCAGATGATCATGTGATTTTTTCCCTTTCATTTTATTAATGTGATGGATCACATTTATTGATTTGTGTATGTTTAATGATCCTTGCATTCCAGGGATAAATCCTACTTGCTCATGATGTATAATCCTTTTTATATGTTCTTGAATTCAGTTTGGTAATATGTTGTTGAGAGTTTTTGCATCTGGATTCATCAGAGATATTGGTCTGTAGGTTTCTTTGCTTGTGGCGTCCTTCTGTGGCTTTGGTATCAGGGCAATGCCAGCCTCGCAAGGTGATTTTGGAAGTAGTCCCTCCTCCTCAATGTTTTGGAAGAGTTTGAGAAGAATTGGTGTTAATTCTTCTTTGACTGTCTGGTAGAATCTCTAGTGAAGCTGTCTGGTCCTGAGGGAGGTTTCTGTGTTGGAAGGTTTTTGATTCCTGATTCAATTTCTTTAGTTTCTATTGGTTTGTTCAGATTTTTTATTTCTTCCTGATTCAGTTTGTAGGTTGCTTGTTTCTAGGAATGGATCTGTTTCTTCTAAGTTATCTGAGTTTTTGGCTTGTAATTGTTTAGTCTCACAGTCCAGTTTTTCTGCAGTCTCAGTTGTAATGTCTTTTTCTTTTCTTTTTAAAACGTATTTTATTTACTTATTTGAGAGAGAGAGAGAGCACAAGCAGGGGGAGGAACAGAAGGAGAGGGAGAGAGACAAGCAGACTCTGTGCTGAGCAGGGAGCCTGATGTGGGGCTTGATCCCATGACCCTTCCCCAGTCATAGCAAGTCAGGGTGGGGCAGGCTCATCAACTTCCTTGGATCTGCAACCCCCTTCACGGTCCTGTCCATCTACTTTCTGATGCACAGGTGCATGGAAATCTGGGCGTCCTGGTGTGATGAGCAGAGGCACTTTTGTTTGATCATGAATGTCGAAGTAGTTGTACATAAAAGGGGAGAGGAAAAAAGGGAAGACTCTTGCGGCCACCATGCTGATGTCACACTTGGCCCTGATCCTGACCCTACACTCACCCTACCCTTGGTCCTGAACATGACCCTTACCTTGTTTGACCTTCACCATGTTACTGACCTTGCAGTGTACCCTTAACCTGATTCTGAATCTGTCATTCTCCATGATACTGACCCAGAATTGACCCTTACCTTCACTCTGACTCTGATCTTGACTTTGACCTGGAACCCTCTCTCACCCTGAACCTGAATTGGACCCGACTGTCACAGTAATTTGGATCCTAATATTCAAAATGAGTCATAATTTGACATTCACTCTGACCATTTACTAAAACTGACCCTGACAGTAGCCCTAAAGCACTGATTATGACCATGACCCTGCTCACCCTGATTCTTATCTTCACACTAAC